TCTTCCGATGGTAAACAAGTTGCATAATATCTCTCTATCAAAGTGAAGCTATGCAAGATCAACTGGAATATTTTATATATCATTTCACACTTTGATATAGATAAATACTCTTACTTAGTAGAATGAAATCTAAAATGGAACACCTTATGTTGCACTGATTTGATCTAATTAAGTGGTACGTGTTACTAGAATGTTTAACCTGTGACAAGCATCACTGAATTAATCCCACAAAAAATAAGACAGGTTAGTACAAAAATAATTGAAGTTCTTTTCTAGTCTTTCCACAAAGATTTCCCCAACCCTATCTTGTAGCAGTCTAGCTTTTATTGTTTCCATTTCTAGTTTGGCTAAATATTGTATCATAAGTTATGTTAATTTTTTTTTTCCCCTCATTCCTTCAGACACTGCAATATTCATTACGCCTCCTTGTGGAAACCACACGTTCCAGCACATAGATACCATGTATGTAAGTCAGCATTGCCAACAAAACTAAGCCCTGCTTTTCATCTTCTACAGAGGCTTGCTCCTTGTTCCACACAGTCCTTAGTGCTGTGCTATCACCACTGTGACGTGCAGCTGTGTGAATATATTAAATGGGACAATGGGTTCCAGCTGAACAATAGCCCAGGGAAAAAAATTCTTTTTCAGCCAAGTTAGTTTCCCCATCTCATTTACTGCACAGCAACAAGAACTCCTGTCCTAGGCAGTTCAGAAATAGAAATAATGTCAGAGGAAGAGAAAACTGGAAGGCAACTAAGGAACACAAAGAATATAAAAATCAGACCAGTTCTGAGTAGTTTTTCAGTTGGGCTAAATTTCAAATAACACTGGTTTAATAAAAGGTCCATTGCTCCTTGCGTAACCAAATCTGGAAAGATGGAAGTAGAGGAGAAATAGAATGGGGTGTACAAAACACAAGTCCTGCAATACTCAAATATATTTTTGCGCTTTTGTTTGAGCTATGTCAGCTAGAACAGAAGACCAAAGATCTGTATTTCTCACACAGCACTCACCAAAGAAGGAAGTCAAGGAAAAGAGTTAGGTGCTTGTTCTAAACAACTGTTGACATGAGACAAAAGCATGTTGTGTGGGATGCAAACCAATGTAAGGGAGTTGTGATAATATAGCTTGAGAAAATGTGTTTTTAAACAAAATTGAATACTTGGAGCAGTGAAATAAAATGAGATATCTGACACAACTAAGCTCAGAACCCTGACTAGAGTTTTCAAGTTCTAGTATTTTTGAAGTAAAAAAAAAAAAAAAAAAAAAAAAAATTATTTCACTTACTTCATCTAAAAGAGGATGAATTTCTGCTAAGGGATTGTAAGGTATAAATATGAGAAGTGCTGGTCCTTTCTTCAGCTCATTGTTTAGAAGAAGGCTTTTTCCACCATGTGGTCTCAGCCAGCGTATGAGCATCTCTCGGTTTTCTAGAGCCCACTTGCAAATGTTCTCAGCAGTATAGTTCATGATGTCATTTGGATAGATCTTGAGGGGGGGAAAAAATTATTTGTCCTCACTTGGTTTAGTAATGAATACAGTTCTCAAATATGGCATGCTTTGTTGCTGTAATGCCTAAAACTCTCTTTCTAAATTTAATTACACTATTCAGCAAGCTTCAGTGTTTCATATACCCTCTCCCTTTGGGAAATCTTTCCCAATGATCATCAGATCATAGTAACACCCAATCTTTCATGCAAAAAGTATTCTACCAGGGAAATAACTCTTTCTTTTACTACATCTTTATAATCTTTACTTTTCTTAGTACTATAAAATTTTCTTTATAAGTGAAAGAGCTCAGTTCTAAGTTGGTATCATCACATCTTGATTTATGGCATATTAGAAAACTTTTTCCCACTACTCATTCACCGTATTATTAACTCATTTTAAATTAGTCTTTTAAGAACATCAAGACTGCATTTAAAACTGGTATTTCTTATTAGTGAATGCAGGGAAAAGAAATGCATAATAAAAAGCGCTCACAGCTTCTAGGGTCATTTTAATAAATTCAGGAAAGTTTATGTTAAAACTACTTTTGGCTGTGCAAATGATTTATGTATTTATCAGTAATTTAACCTGAAAAATTCATGTCTTCCCTAGTCTCAATTGATTAAAATACAAATTACAACACTTATCTTCGCAGAGTTTCCACTCATGCTAGCAGTGTGGATATATAAGGTCTCTATGCCAAACAGCAAATCTGAAAGTTAGTATTTTCAGTATTAGTCTTCCAAAAATGAGGCGCATGGATTAAGAGTTACTATAAATCTTCAATTAAATTAATTTGCATGATTTTTCTAATCAGTGTAATGTCATACCTTTAAACCGAAATGCAAGTTTTCGCTATCCCTACTCTCTCTCTCTCTCCCCCCAAAATCTCTTTGTCCATATCCTCACTCAAGTAGCCTTCTAATTCTGACCTACTGAAAGAGGTAGAAACTTCAGGAGAGAGTCTTTGTGTAGTCATTTCTGAGGTGCTTGGGATTTTGGCGTTATGTTTTGATAGAGATGGCCAACCTGAGTCTTAGGTACTGTTTAGAACAGCTACTGATTGGTGGAATGAAAATGTTGTACAAAAATACCGTTCTTAAACATCCTGTATCCTAAAGCTCTGTGAAACACTTATTCATGGTCTACTATGACAGCTTCAATCTCCTTGTACTGTCTCAGAGTCACTACAACATAAATACAATACTCACAAGAGATGTGTTCACATGTCTGTGCAAATACACACTGCCTGAATGCACCAATGAGATCTTCTCTGCAACATGTTTGTCTGTGATCACTCCAAAGCGTATTGTTCCAAGGTAATCTGAAAGGCCAAATTTCCAGTTTTTAAATACAATTATACACACTGAACTTCTTTCCTGAAAACCTTAAGAGAATGCCTTCAAACCAAAACACAGAACGTTGCTGTGTAAAGGCACAGAAATCTTACTGAATTGCATCTTCCAATATTGGTGATTAAATGAGGTGGAAGAAAGGTAACAAGAGCAGGCAACAAGAACAGATGTGTTCCTCTTCTGCACTCAAGGTACAGAGAATGTTAACCTTAATTGTCCAATTTCTTGATTTGCTTATTAAATATAGAATCTGGTATCATAGGTGCACCTTGCTCCATGTTATGGTGACTCAAAAGCCAACATGAGATAGAGAGATATATGTGGAGAAGGTATGAACATCGACTGTTTAATGATGTACATTTACAATAAATATGTATTATAGTATTTCTATATTTTTAAGTCTGTACACACGAGGATAGAATGCTTCTAACCTTTATTTTGCAAAGAACTATCCCAACATACAAATGGGGAAGTTACAGAACAAGATATAAGAGAACGGGCTCTATATCATATAGCAAGTCAGTGGCACAGTAAAAAATCAGAATAGCATCAATTTCCTTCATTTGCCAACAGAAAGAAATCCTGGTAAAATGTGCTAATCTTAACTTTAAGAAAGCTTTATCCAGAACTGATGATCAAAAAACAAAAGGTATTAATTGTATATAACATTTGCATGTTTAAACACAAGAGTTTTTGTATTTTAGATATTAATGCAAAACAACAGGGAGAAAATGCCCTTCTCATCATGCTACCTTTTACCAGCTCTGTAACTCCCATCAAGGAAAGCACTTTGTTGAATTCAGTTACTAAGTATTGACAAAGTCAAGTTCATCCTAATGGCCCTGAACCTGACATTTCAAGTGTTGCACAAAACAAACATTCTTGGACTCAACTTATTTAAGTGCTAGCCTGATTATGGCTCTATATGAGTTGCAGCTACACCTTTAGGTTTTTGAGGAAACTGTATCTTAGTGTATCCATGAATAGCAGCCTGTCATATACTTTATTCCATGATGGTTGATCACATAAGCCTCTTACATAAGCAATCCTCGCACTGTAACAAAAGAAAGTCTCATAATTAGATCAGCATCAAGCAATACTCAAAAGGGATTAATTCCCAAGTTACAAAATACGGCAAAACACTACTGAAGCCCATATCCATATACATAACTCATTCACAGATGCCTTAAGTTATGAAAATGAAGCTTTTACCTTTCTTTAATGAATGTAATGCTGACGTGAAGAATGTTAAATAACCAGGCGGTTGAGGTGAAGCATTGAACTCAAAATACCCTAGAACTCCAGGCTGAAATAATAATTAGAGTTAGTTAAGCTATTTTCAAGTATAAATATATGGGGCACAGCAATTATTTTCCTACAGTAAAACACAACAGATTTTAAAAAGACAACAAAGTTTACTGAAGAACAGTCACTTTATGCTGCAAGAAAAAATTTCATATTACAAGACTGAATGGAAATCAGTTCTAAAGTTGTCATTCAAAAGCTATGTACGAGAGAAAGTTTCTATGGCTGTAGATGCATAAGTTTCAAACCGTATTTCCCATGTTAGCTAAGTTCACTAAAAACAATTAATATTTGCTTTGCAAATATTTTGAGTCGGTTCCAGCACCGACATAAGAACCATAAACACTGCAAAGACTTCTTTTAGAACTAGAATATCAAATGTGATTTTTCAGATTATAAACAACTTAAACAGTAACACTTTAATTGTTCACTATGTTGCACATAATTAGCAACTACATATGAATTCACACATCTTGTGCGTGAATACTTGAACTGCTAAGCCAATTTATCATCCCATCATTAAGCTATCAATCATCATAAATTCTTTCAGTATATCCTGCAGGAGTTAGTGAGACACCAGCTGCACAAAAATAATGAAAGAGCCCCATATCCCACCTGCATACCCATGAAGTTCTTCAAATTGCCAAACAGACAACTCAAAATTTAAAAGACTCATCCCTAAATAGGCCTATTGACTTTGCCAGGTATGAAGCCTGAATGGCTTCATATTAAATTCAGGAAGAGACTCTGGGAGAAGCTGACTTGGAACAGAGAGGTACGTCTAAAGTCTAAAGACTTCTCTTGTTCCAAATTTCAAATTAAGTTTTGGTTTTAAATTTTACAAAAATATAATCCATTAAAAATTATTATTAATTATGTTTTTTAATCTATCACTCAAATTGGCTCAGTAAACTTTCATGACAAAGTGATAGAATTGTTATTTTGTGTTACTCATTTCCCACTTCCTTCGGTGCATACAGAAAGAGCATTTGATACACAAAGCAAGAGCACTCTAGGGATTGCTGTGGAGCAAAAGATTCCAGACTCACTGATCACCCATTTCTGTGGCAAATATATTCCCACATAAGTATTTTCATTTAGTATTTTGGTGGCTGCTTTATTTTTTTGTTAAGTTTTACATACACAATTTTTAATTTATTTTTAAAACATGAAAATATATTTTGCCTGTTACTGTCACTAGTGATATGAATTCAGTTATTCATACCAGCCATATGAATTGAGCTAATTCAGTATGAATTAGCGATCTCAGGATGTTCACCAATAACAACATTGCCCATTCCAACTAATGACCTGCTCTTTTTAGGCAGGAATTATCTTTGGTGAATAAATGCTAAACACAAGATGCTTGTTCATAAAGACTCGTTATGAGGTACCCCAGGAAAAATATCAATAATAAACATGAGATACAACCAATTAGTGAAATTTCTGCAATAACAATTGTCAAGAAGGAAATAAAAATATAAATAGTAAAGAAGTAAAAAAAAATACAGCAAAATTCATTCTTCTCATACACTCATTCTTTTTTAAACAATAAACAGGTTAATAATTAGCGTTCATCTTTTTCTCCTAGTATGAAATTAAGACAGTAAAGAAACAATCCCTTATAAAAAACCTTTAAAGCATTCAAGTGAACCAAAATAAGGAGACAGACAAGATGATCAAAATTTTAGTTTCCCATTTCCCAGGAACATTTCTGAATACCATTACTGTACAAAGCAAACTTATGGCAGCAAATACTGAATGAAAGAAGAGTCAGAAGTGACAGTAAAATGAAGACATGAAGCCAAAAGTCAGATCTGGATATATTTATAAAGTTATTAAAAAAGGTGATGTTCTGATTCGGACTGCCAGTTCTGTTGTACACTAATAGCAGCCTAAGACTTCCACATTACGAAGAATAAGATGTTTCCATGAGGGGTTTTTGGAAAGTGTTTTTTCAATAAGAAAAAATTGTTGTGGAAGAGTATATACTAATGCTATATGTCTAAACATTAATGTGGTTAATTCATGTCCTTTTAATGATCATCCCAAAATAGTTAAAATTTCCTCCCTGGTACAGGCTGCAATTATACATAAGAGGAAAGTGTCTAAAATGCTGTATTTCTTCTCAAGTACCACGTAAATTTTCTTGTTCTTCTGAAGATTCAAGTATTACAGAAGAGATAATCTCAATGTAAATAAGAGGTTCCTACTTTTGAATACAAGCATGCTAAGAGGAGCTTGATGGCAGCAACTCCCACTTCCTTTCATGCAAGAACCTCCAAGACAATCAATAACTGGTGTAGCAACAAGTACATGCATACAGTTTATATGGGCATCTACATACAAGCTGTTACTGATGATCAGCTGCTTCCAGGCAACTATCTGCATGGAGTTCTGGTTGATTGTCTTTGTGCAGGCAGTTAGGAATAATCAGCTGAACAGGATATGACTCGCTGCTATATAAAGCAGGAGGATAAAATACTAGAAAGTGACATACGTATAGTTTAAAAACACTCCATTAGGAGCCTTGGCATGGCTAGAGTGGAGCTTACTGGAGCTTTTCTTTCCATGAAACAATTTTCATAACCTGTCTCAAACCAAGTGTCTGTAGGAAAGGTTTTGGAACAAACCTGAGGATGTCAGTAGTGACGAGTCATTACTACCATCTCCTAATGAAACTCATATATGGAAATAAAACATCATTAATTATAGCATAGCCTATTTCTTGCTTGGCCTGTACACCAGAGGAACGGAAAGTGATGTGTGATGCCAATTAAATCAAACAAGTAACAGACCTGACAAGCATCTCAACAATTACAGAACAGAAAGTTCATAGAAACTTTAAGATCTTCAGATAAGTAATTTTTATCAGAGAACAGCCAACGTGGTTTTATTACAGAACCATGCCTCAAGTCTATCACAGTTCTTTGAAGGAATGAGCAAGCATGTAGATAACTGATCTCTCAATGCAGCATACTGTAATTCCCCAAAAGCCTACATGACGTTGCCAAGCACACTGGAAGAAACTAAGGTGATAAGGAATAACACAGAAGGTACTTTTCTAGATTAGTAGAAAAGATAGAAAACTACAGGTAGAAGTTTTCCACAAAGACAGACAGCCAGGATGTGTACTGATGGTCATATAGTTGAACATTTCTACAAACACTTTAGAAAAGAGGAAGAAGTGTGAGAAACAAAACTTGCAAAGGTTATTAGGAATCATCAGAACTACAGCTGACTCTTCTGAGTTGCAGAAAGACAGTATTAAATGACTATGTGATGCAAGAGCTCTGAAATTTAAAGGCCAATAAATGTGAAGTAATGGGAAGAGAGAACAGAAAAATCCCAGTTACTGATTAGCTCTTACAGTTAGATAAATGCTTTTACTACTCAATTAAGTTATTTCTATCCCAATTTGTATTTATTTATTTTTATTCTTTGGCTATACTGCATTGAGGTAAGGGAGATTTTTTTTTTTCCCCAGAATCTCAGACGTATGCAGACAGGCAATTCCTGCCTCATTTTATCTGTAAACACAGAAAAGAAAACATCAAGAGGAAAAGGAACATATTATCTCTGGGGAACAAAAGAACCAATATTACATACCGCTAATTCTATACCGCAGAAATGCAAGAAAGAAACTGCTGATTGATATTCGATTAATTAATTTACAAGTAAAGGTCTGTTCATTTTCTAATGAGGTTAAAAGCACTGTGTATCCAGAATGGAAAGCAAATTCTGACATCATCATTTAACATAGGCACCACAGTACCCCACACAAGAGCAAGCTATTAAGTCAAATCCACTTCTGGGTGAGATCCTACACAGCTGGTTAATGCTCAGGAAGCATTTCTACACAAATAGAGCAAAGAAGAAAGCTGACACATGCCAGCTACCTCTCAGAGAGACCAACTCCTCCCCCACCTCTCCCAAAGCCAGAAAATTATGAGCTCCCCAGGCATATTCAATTTTCATAAGTGGATGAAGCTTTTTGTCTAACTACAGAAGCTGCATGTTTTCTTCCTCTGTGTGCCAGAAGGATGAGGCCATTTCTAGTAGCTGGGTTAGTCAGATGAGGAATGAGACTTGCCAGTTTGGATTAAAATTAAACTGTTACATCTCCCCAGTTAAGAAAACAAAAGAAGTCTGATTATAAGTACTTACAGGTACCTAGAGTTCTAGTAGGAAGTGCATATCTTCCTCCTGATGTAACTTAGATCTTCCTATACATTCCAAGATTTTAACCGCTTTCCAAATGGCATTTTTTCCCTTGCTCTCAAAAATTAAATTCTAATTCTTATCCAGTTCTAGTTTTGCACTAATATCATTCCATGACCACAAAAATCCCTTAACTAGTATTAGAAAATGCAGAATCTTAACTTTGGAGTCTTCAACCAGATTTCCACACCCCCCGCGGGGTTTCAGCGCCCTCTTGTGAGATGAATAGAGCAGTGCAGCATCTCACGATACTCATGATTTGGTTGAGGAACAGACATACACTATGTCACTAACACCAACTTGCTTACATTTATCTGGATTGCGTTCATCAGTTTTTCTTACAAATAAAAACATGCTAATTAACATTTGACTACAACATAAAACACTGATAGATTTCAGTATCTCTCGGTGTGGTTCAACTTATAAAAAAATGCTTTGAATGTTTATCTTGGTACCTTTACAGTACTTGCTAGTTCAGGCATGCTAACATGTTCAATGGATTTCGGTATTGAGTATGAGTAGAGCTCCTGTGTTTCTTTGCTAGATGCTTTTTCCACCAAAAGCTGGCTACTGGAATTTGAACACAAGATTAAAGCATCAAAAGCTTCACAGATTAGATGGAAAAAGGACAACTATGGGCTTTAAGTCCTGGCTATCAGTGAACTGACCAGCAACAACAAAATGCCCTTGAAACAAGAAAAGAAGGGTGCAGTAGCTCTTTTAAGTGTGACAACGCATGCTCAGCAGAACTTCAGCTCGACATGATGGCCTGCAAATAAACCATCCTTCTAATGAACCAATAACTTACCAACCTATTGCATACTCCAGATTACACACAGTGCTATCCTTGGACAGAGAAACAGAACAATGAGGACCAAAAGCGAGTGACAGGCAACGGCTCTGTGACCTACTGCAGAGTAAATACACCTAACATAAGGTTGCAGAATCCATTCCCTAGCAGAACACAGGACTGAAAATTACATACAGATGATGACAAATCTTTCAGAAAATATTCTGAGCTTCAAATTAATTAGCTTTTCAATGAAGAAATCACAAAAACCTGATCAAGCAGGAGACAGTGGTCAAAATGCCCAACGGTCTATCCTTTAGTCTTCTCTCCTTTCCTACTGCTAAAAATTAACATTTTTAATATATAAAAGATCGAAAATCAAAGGAAGATGCTAACCAAGGCTCTCAAATTAGCAATTAGTTTGTGCCATGTATACACTTCTGTAACCTACTCCACTTCAAGACTTTCTCACTTCTTAAACACAGGAATCACCTCCTGGATTGTATCTTCTCCTACAAAATGTATAAAGTTCCTCGACTTGCACGGAAAACATTAGAAAAAGCTCACATTTCTAACTGTTTAAAATGATGAAACAACATGTTTATTTCTCGTTTAAAACTAACTTTTCCTTCATGCCTATGCTTCCCTCGCCATCCATCTTCATATGTAATTCTCTACTACTTAAGTCATTTCTGTATACCAGCTCCTGTTCATTCAGCATTTCCTTTTATTATTGCAATCACCTGGACCTGAACTAGCCAGTGCCCTGTTCCCTGAATGGATCTTACTGCATGAGTTGGCTGTTAATTTTGCATACGCTTCTCCCTCTCTTGCTTAACTTCACAGAGCCAAGACACTGAGCACCTGATGCCACAGCCTGGGAAATAACCTCAGCCTTAATGACTGTGGGGCAGCATGACAGATCAGACTCTATTCTTAGTCCATTTCTGAAAAGAGAACCAGCAAACGCTGAACATAAACAGAGATCATAAATTCACAGAATCTTTGGGTTGGAAGGGACCTTTGAAGCTCATCTAGTCCAACCCCCCAGCAATGAGCAGGGACATCTTCAACTTGAGCAGGTTGCTCAGAGCCCCGTCCAACCTGACCTGGGATATTTCCAGGGATGGGGCATCTACCACCTCTCTGGGCAACCCAGGCCAGTGTTTCACCACCCTCATCATAAAAAATTTCTTCCTTACATCTAGTCTAAATCTGCCCTCTTTTAGTTTAAAAACATTACCCCTTGTCCTATGACAACAGGCCCTGCTAAAAAGTTTGTCCCCATCTTTCTTATAGGCCCTCCAAGTACTGGAAGGCTGCAATAAGGTCTCCCCGGAAAAGCGGAGATCAGGCACTTGTAGCCACAGACTTTGAAGCACAGGAAGGGGAGGGGGGAAGTTTGAACATAGAAACAAAAGTATATGTTCAATTGCTAAACAGTATTTAAAGTATTTTCTGGTTCCCCCATAAATTCATCTTTTATCTTAAGTCTTTTTCCAGTGGAAGTGCACCTCCTACTGTAAAGCAAATTTAAGCTTAATGACACTATGTTTATTAATTACCTTTTGCAGACTACCAAGAAATAACTCACGTAACACAGACCAAAAACCAAGCATGGCTGTTTTCAAATCTCTATAGAAGGCAAAAAATGCCAGAGTTTTAGAATGACAAAACTGAAAGCAGTGAAAAGACAACAGAATCGCTTGTGATCACAGATACTATCAGCCTCAGAGACAGCCACACAACTCACTACTCCTGACTCACAGTCCTCACTTAACACACTGGAAAACTAAACCCATTAGTAACAGCTCCTGAGGGATAAACCGAAGCGAGAACAGCGCAGCACCTACCCATGGTTAACTACCAGTGTGCGTCCCCTTATGCTGTGGCACCTTTCATTTAACAGCACAGATCATGCTCCGTCCTGCAGCAGAACCAGTCATTAGAATACGCACCAATTCAAAGAGGAACTCTGCTTCATTCTGAAACACCGGAAACCCCTCACATGTTTTGGTCACTACTACAGCATCGATTTGTGGATCAGGTTTTCTGTTCTGCTCTAATAGCTTGGGGTTTAGTAATGGTACGTCTCCATTGCGCACTACAGAAATGAACAGTTATAAAGGGATTATACATGGTTCTGTTGTAAGCGTGTTTTGTCTAATTGGAAGTCATTAATCCACTAGTATTGCTACAAATCTTGGCACCTCTGAACACAACAGACTGAAAATTAATAAAACACAATGCACCCGTGGATTAAAATCATGAAGTTACAGCATACAAAGTGGTTAGGAGCCATTATTTCAACTGATTTCACATTTGTTTTTACTTAACAGACTTATCTTATTAGAAAGGTTTAATATTCCTTTAAAAAATAAAGCAATTACTATGTATTTCTCATATGCTTTCCCAACTTACTGCAAGATTTTTGCAAAAAGATTTCTCCCTTCTTTCTTGTTCATATGCAACTTTTTGGCGAGCTAACAACTTTGATTGTTGCCCCTACATACTAAAGTACTGTAAATTAAGAGCATCACTAAATCATAAAAGTCACTATACAGGGAACCAACATTACGAATTTGTCTTCATATTTTTATGATTTTAACAAATTTACGGGACACTGATTTCAGGATCCGGAAAATAAAACTAGTACTTTGGAGCAGATCAAATTTAATTGTGAAACAAGTCAAACTCTTTCTGAACCACAGTGGTAAAGCTAGAGAAGAGAGACAAGTACCTCATAATTTGAGAGGAAATCTAGTAATTTTGATCGAGACGAGATGTAGAGTAGTGGTGTCATCACCCGGCGAACAAACTTTTCAATATAAACAGCACTCATAGGGCCTTTGTATTCAATTGGTCCAAAACTAGTACCAAAAAAAATAATAAAACATTAAGACTTAAATTAGAGAGAGTCCCTGCTGGGGGTGGCAGAGATAGGAGTTACATGGACAGCATGCTCAGCCTCTAGGGAATTGCTCTCTGTGTTAACTAACAATGGCTTCTGTAACTGATGGAGAAGTTGTGTTACCAGACTTGAAGTACAGTGCAGAAATTGCAGTGACTCTAATGCCGTGTCTATGGATGTGTGCAATGTGTTGGTGGGGACGAAAGAATGGAGACCTCTTCTCAGTTCCATTAAAGAAGTTGGTAAAATACTATGTGAATTACATGATTATATAGGTATCTTTCTTCTTTGTCCGAAGTAAATACATGTGACTTAAAAATACAGATCTGAAAAATGCCACTATTTTCACTTGTTTTTTTTTAATCTTTAGAAAAGTTCAGTGCCAATCTGAAAGGTACAATATTTTTACATAGACTTTTACAAGTAGCACTCAATAAAGCAGGGACAAATCCAGTCGCGCTGCTGATGAACAGACTCAGCGAGACTACAGTTTCTTCCCCAGCCATCTGATAGAACAGCTCACACATGAAGCAATGCTAAAACAGAAGGCAGGCCAGGCCTTGTGGTTACAATTTCCAGAGCTTCTCCTTCATCCCCTTGAAATCCTGCATCTGATTTACTATCATTAGGTTGAACAAAGCATCACAGTCCAAAATGAAATCAAACACAAAAAGCACAAGGAATTAGTCCATTCCCACTGAAGAATTTAATGTGATGCATTTTTTAACATAGTTTATACATATAGACACTGAAAAACATCAAATTCGCACTGAGGTACCTATATTCAGATGCTTTGAAATGGTTTTCTAGAGCCCACTAGATTATTTTAAATCCTACACTGGTTTATTATGAACCTTTGTCTTAACAGCAACACGCACTGCTTCAACATGTCACATGCCCAGCACGCAACATTCGAGGTTTAGTATCTTGGGCATGAGGGGGTGCATTGCCCTTTGGGGTTTTTATGAAGTATCAGTATGAATTTACATCTCATCTTGTTGCAACTCTGTTTAAGGTCACTGAAAATACCCAAGTGTATCCATCTAACGTGTTGTAATTTCAAGATCAAGTAAGTTTAAGTCAATGTACATCCAAGTGCAATTGTTGGTTTTTTTATTACACTTTGCATTATGCCAGTGCCATCTGTGTCTGTTCCAAGTGCAGCTGACGAAGATCAGAGTTGTTCCTCCTCAACACATAAATCCCCCCCCAAAAATCAAAATCAGCCTCAGTAATGGAAGAGAGCTGAGTTCAAGATTAGGGTACACAAGTAAAATGCAAGTGATAAACTACATAACATCCAGCTCTATTGTACCTAGCATTAGAAAGTGTGTTTCCTTAGCTTCCGCTCCACACGAAGAGGGGAAAAAAAAGATAATACATACAAATACTAAAAAATGAAGATGAGATTATACAAAATTTTATACAATGATATCTTAGCATTTGGAGCATTAAAAAGTGAGCATAAAGTTAAAATTTAGAAGAAAGTCTTCAGTACATAGTGCCATTTAAATATGCACTTAAATTCCACTAACTTCAATAGCACATACTTTATTGCTGCCACAAATTGGGACCAGTTGATATAATCCATTCACAGAGCAAGCAGACAACTGAAATTAATATATAAATCTGAATTCTTTACTTTTCATTGGAGGCAGAACTTCCAGGAGATGCAGGGACAAAAGAAAATTTCCTTAAGGATGAAGAACTGCACAGCATGTCATTTAACTGACATTTACAGCCCTTCTTGACACCTAAGTCGTATAGGTGATAAGCTTCACCCAGAATCTCCTCCTCCTCTATAACCATCTACTATTTTTTAACATAGTTTATACATATAGACATACAGCATTTTCAAAATGCAACATTTGATACAACCTCCCTGTTTCTCAAAACAACAGTAAGAAACCCAGACTGTACATACGAAATCTTACCTCCGATGGTATAAGTGTATCACAGGAAAATAAAAGAAATGCTTCTGCTTCCTGCATTTCCCCTGGTTCCACCAGCAATTTACAGCCACAAACAGCACCTGCAATGCAGGTAAAAATTCACAGCTAACAAAGTACATTACTGTGACCTTCTTTATCCAACATGTATTTTTCCCAAGCCATTCCACTGGCTACTTCCAGTGTCTTTTCAACTCAGTATTCAATTTCTGCTCCTCTTAATTCTATCACACAAGACTTGTTGCAGCAGCAACCCTTCTGGTCACTTTTCTTTGTAGTTTTTAAACTTCTTAATCTAAATCCTTCAAATCTACTAACTTAGTCACAATTCTTATTAATTATTTTTTCTGCAGAGTGGAGCTCAACAAGCAGAGGTTTAGAACAGCTGTACTTCTGAAGAGTTCACAGGTAACCAACTGCTAGAAAGCAGTGCTATAGTTGCACTCGTACACGATTACCAGTGTCTCCAAGGGCCCTGGAACCAGGAGCAAACTCCCTGTAATTTCTGTCTGAAAGCATTTCACGCATATTCACATACATATGAGAACACTCCACAAGAAGAAGCTTCTGGAGTTCCCCATTCAGGAGCAGAAATAACAGAAACTGAGCAGGAATAACAGGTTTTGTCCATTTATTCTAACACTGTGTATGTTAAATTAAAGACGACCAGCTGAGTTACCCTAAAATGTGTGCATTCAAGTCCTACTGGTTCCCATGGGATGGCAGAAATTAGCATTGGTCATATTTAAGATTCATATCTTCTCTGGAGTTACCTGGTCTGACAATCTGCTGGCCACATGTTCTATTTGTTCTCTTGCTGCAATGGACTGGCCACACCATGGCGCGTAGAAGAAATACAGCACAATTTCTGAATCCTGACGAAGGTGATCTGCATAGTCTAATTGTCCCCGAAAAAGATCAATGACTGGAGATCTTGTGGAGAAAAAATTCACTGGAAGCTTTGCTGGCATTGTTACATCTTTTGCTCGGCTGCAGGAAGGAAATTAAGAGTGGTTAGGGAGACCGTACAGCAGTAGTTAAAAGGGCGTGCTCAAAGCCCTAATTTTTAACCTTAGCAAAGGTCATGCAATGACAAAACTTTAGAAATTGATGCAAATGACTAGAACTTACATTTTCAGAGTTAGTTTCATGAAATACCATAAAAAGCTAAAGATGTCCTTTAACAAGCTCTAGAAAGTCACGCTGTGATAACATGCACTGTGTTTATGGGTTTGTTAGCTCACACTCTTTATCTGCTGGTTGCTATAGAGCATAAAGTTACCAGGAAGAGTGATTTCTTTGGATTTCTTCCCTGGCCTCATCCTCTTTTAACACTTGTACTTTAGGTAACAGCACCCTGATAAGAGAAGAGACACTGGTCATAAAGTTTTGTGATGTGATGTTTATATAAACAGAGACTATTACCCTGCCTTATGCTTTGCTTTAAAGTATTCTACACTTCTTTTATATTTTGGGGGGGAAAAGCGGGGGGGGGGCAGGGGGGAAGTGTATTTCAATGATTAGAGCAGGGACTGCAAACTGTTCAGGGCACATTTCCTCTTCAATATAAGGACAATATCAACAAATAGACAGTCACGATTTAAAGAGATTACGATAGATTAAGTTTCTTAAGAGAAATTGGTTTGACCAGTAATACTAAGAATGTAGACCAAATACTCAGGAAACTGTTTTCTATCAAATCAGCAATCAAACAATCCAGAACTCGGCATTTCCCAGGTGTTCAGAAGTTGTTACAGTATAAACTGCTTTAAAGGAAAGTGAATGATAATACTATCTTTTTTATACTCTCTTAATTACAAAATTTTCCACTAGCTATATTTATATTAGAGCAAGTCAGACCGAAAACTGGACCACACTACCATAATGCTCAATTCTGCTGTGGTTCCTTATGTGACAGAAGTTTTAGGAACGACTGTGCACTCCTTTACCTTGTATCACAATAAAAAGCTAATATAAAAATCTTTTTACCTGATATTTGATCCTTCTCAGGTTATAATTTTAGTAATTGTGATAAAATTATTGAGCCCTGAGCACTGTCACACTCATAGGTTAACCAACCTCCTAACAGCACTGCCACATTTTAAAATTTTACAGTCATTCTGGTTTGCAAGAAGTACCTTTGTTTTTACAATACAGACCCACAAAAGGCACAGCTCTTCTCTCATTTCCAGGTTACTAAGCACGCACTTAAAGCTCAACATTTGCAGATCACTCCCAGTATATTTTCTAAAAGTTACGGGAATTCTTAATTTATATGTAAGAGAAATATTTCTTTCAAAATCCATAGTTTTGGAAGTATTAACTGCCCCCTCATGTTTACAGTTCACTAATTCCACTACTCACAAAATTATGTTTTCACACAGATGGCCAAAAATCTAGTTCCTTTGCTGGACTTCTACCTTTGTTCCTTCCCTTCTCCCCCAGTCAGTAACCCAGCACCTCCTTCCCCAACCCTTAGGTTCTCATGTCACCACAATCAACACCGCTGGTTCCTTCCCGTTCCTGCACTCTACGCTTAGCCAGACTGTTAGCTTCTTCCCATGATTTCTAACTGCTACGCCACGGCTCTAACTCACAGGTCAGCACAATCGCACTGATTAGCTGCTGAAAGTGAAACAGGGCAGCTAAGTGTTGATCTCACACTAATACAGACTTCTTCAGAGTCCTTAATTTCTAGAATTTCTCCTCTAACTACTTTTATGGAAATGGACAACCTAAATATGTTTAAATCTTCTGCTTCCTCTACTGAATTAAACTGGAAGTGGAAAATTGGTTCAAGAGTTATGGTGAATGGGCACACAGATGGATACAGAACATAACAGCCGAGACATGAAAACGAGATACAAAAATTGGCTCCAAATTGCAAAGAAGTGTAAAACAGATCAACTGAAGTCACATGATATGAGTGAGTCAGGAATTACATGGCTACCCTCAAATATGAAAAAAATCCTCTAGTAGTATTAAAAACCAAAACACAATAAATCAGTAGATACCAGCTTCTTAAGCTGATTTGTTCAGTAGTTTCTCCCTCTCCAATACCAAATGCATAACAGAGTACTCCCAGGAGTACGTAACTCCCGGGTTTATGAAGAGAATAGTGCTCTGAACCCCTAAAAATTATACAAGTATAAACTGAGGATTACATAATACACGATTATACAAACATAATAATCACATACTGCTTATTAAAACACCAACTGTATTATTTACCTGCTGCACAGAGCCTGTAACACCTTAAACTCATTTCAAGAGAACAACCTGGTAATAAAGGAAAGCACATGCAAGTGCCTGTAGGATTGGCCCCTTTGACTGCAAGTTCCTTAGAGTGGGGTTTTCTCAAAAGATTTGCATAGTCACAGAATCATAAAGGTTGGAAAAGACCTATAAGATCATCAAGTCCAACCGTCAACCCAACACCACCAAGCCCACTAAACTATGTCCCAAAGTGCCACGTCTACATGTTTTTTGAAATAGCGGCAGAAATAATTCAGGTTCTAAACCACAGGCTTTCCGTAACAATACAGGTTAGGTCAGGCTTCATTTGGCTATTCTTTGAGCCACTATAAACCTGTAATACCTGAAATCCCACTAACAGATTGCCTTGTATTAATGGAATTTTCCCTTTTGATACTTTTCATCCATTGGTCTCCGAATTTACATGTTCTAAGTGTAGTGGTAGTAACCATATTCTGGTGCTGAGACTTACTTACAAACCATACTGATGTGTGGTGAGAAACTATGTACTGAAGTCATAGTTAGCACGTGCAGTTAACTGTCCTCCAAATTACAGGAATTTTTACACTTGAATTTTCTATGTTCCTGACAGCAACAAAACAGGGGAATAATTTTCTGATATTAGTCTGTCTACTTAAGTACAACCTGAAAAGCCAAAACCCTTTAATCAAACTTTCTGTACAGAGTACAGGGTGGCAAGAAGCAAATTTCAAGCACATTCCATTTGTGAGCTTGCAAACACAGCTAGCAGTAACATGAAAGGTGCATGCAGTTTTTAAATAACTGACAGCAGCATCTCTGTACACATTAAAAACATTTTTTTTTCAGTTATGGACAGTAAAACAGGGAGGTGATTAAGTTCAGAAATCCTTCACCATACATTCCCATACGGCAAGAGCTTTACGCTTTCATGTCAATTATCTGGTCACTGTGAGGTACAGACTATTGGAATAGGGACACTGCTGCTCACAGAGCAACAAACTGAGAGGCCTGAAATTCACCCTGATTCAAATACATGGACAGGCAAGAAAAAAAGGCCTCAGTATTTTTCAGAAGCATTGCCTGTGAATCAAGTGTTTCTTGGAAAAAAAATTTATCAGAGTCTGTAGAATAGGGAAGTAATCAGATCCTTGTAGCCTTCTCCCACTCCCAAAACTAAACCCCAAATGCACTAGATGTTCTTAAATTAATATAGTATGACTTGAAGCACGTAACAGTCACCTTGTCCTAAAACCCATCCAGAACATTCAGATCCTAGTTTAGGCTCCAGAAACGAGGTGCCCAGCTGCAGTGCATTCACGTGCCTCCCGTGCATCACCTAACTCTCCCCAAACTTGCAGCTACAAACATCACCTGGTGCCAGGTCCCCCAGGCTCTCTGCCAACAGGAGCCAAAGAGACTTCTTTGGTACCCCCACGCAGACGCAGCCGGCTGAGGGAAGGGTTTCAGCCCCGTGTACCCCCAGTCCTGCTGTGGCAACGCGAGGTGCGAGTTACTCTCTGGAGATGAGGCAAAACATCTTCCTCAGGTGTTCCTCAGCGCCTGTCCCCCAGGTGCGTGTGCATCCGCGTATCGTGGCCACACCCCAACGCCCTCCGATAAAGGCATACGTGTCTTTAAAAATACCAC